AGAAAAATATGTAAACTTGATTTAGGAGGATAATTTCTCAACCTATTCTTTCATGTACAATCATGATATTTATGGAATGTCAAAGTTAACCCAGACAGAAGTACGAACCAGTTGGAGATTAAAAAAAAAAAAAAAAAAAAAATTGATTTTGATTTGGTAAATAGAACCTGAAAAAAAAAAAAAAAGGATTTTAGAAAGATGAGTCTAAGATTTTGGTTAATTATTATTTTTGCTCAATAAAATACTTATTTCTGAGTGTCTTTGGAGCATAACAGTCACTTAATAAATTTTTGTGTGTGTGTGTGTGTGCAATATGACACATGTATAGGCATTTGTATGCAATACCAAAAAGGATACAGTTCAATTAAGTATAGTAAAACCATCTCATAGAAGTCTCATTATTGTCGGTATTTTATGAGTTCCTAATGGGATTGAATTTAATATTGATGGGGCTTCAAACAGTGTGTAGAAATGGAACTTAAAATAATGTAATCTTTTTTATGAACTTTGTGAAGTTCCCTAATAGTTGTTGGAGATTTGATACCCTGTTTAAGAAGTAGCTTTTCTCGTTCCCTTTGTTTTTGTGGTTGGATTTTGGTCTTAAATTGGTTTGTTGAATTTGAAACTCTTTTTTTACTTTGGAATGCACCTTTTGTGGGTAACATGTATTATAAATATCTTATTCTAATCTGGACTTGCTTCTTTATTGTTATTGTTGTTATTTTTATCTCTCTTTCTCTATTTTAGATTACAAAGTTAATTTGTGGTTATCAGGGACAGAAGGGAGGAGGGATGGAAAGTTATTTCTTATAGACCTCTGAGTTCCTTCCTGTTCAGACAAATAGAAAATTCGCATTGATTAATGAGGAGGTAAAAGTGCTGAGCAGAAAATTTCAAAAGGTAGCTTGAGAAGACATAGTCAAATATTATAATGAAATGTTCAAAGATCTGGAGTTAGAAAACCAAAAGGGAAGAACACACTCAGCTTTTCTCAAGCTGAGGGAAAAAAATCAATCCTCAACATACAATCCTGATGGATTCTTTGGGAAAAAAAATGTTTAATGATGCAGAAAGCATTAAAAGAATTAGAAGAAAGCATAGAAAGAATATACAGAATCATTGGCTAAAAAGAAATAGCATATGATGAAGAGTCAATGGTGTTTAAAATTGTTAAAACTTACTGATAAATTTGTTCTTATTATTACACTGTGATTTTCCTTTATAGATATAATTGTTTTCTTCATGAGAATTAGTTAAAATTACCTAGTTGACTATTGCTGGAATACAGTAATCTCAAATGGACAGTGTTGGCAACACATAGTCCCTTCTCTCAGTTCTCAGTCTAAAGAAGCATGCGGTCAGAGAATAGCCATTTGGAGTACATTTGAGAAGTAATGACATGAATTAGGGTATGCTATGAAGGAGCTCTGGTAGCGTAGTGGTTATGAATTGGGCTGCGAACCTTAAGGTCAGCGGTTCGAAACTACCAGCTGCACAGAGGGAGAAAGATGAGGCTTTCTACTCCCGTAAAGATTTATACCCTCGGAAACCCTATACAGGGTCGCTATGGGTCGGAACCGACTCAACGACACTTAACAACAACAACAACAACATGAATACATAGAGGACTACCTAACCCAGGCTTAGCTGCCGTAAGAGGACTTACAGATGATGTGGCATCTCAGCTGCGTTTATAAACTAAGTAAGAGTTAGCCATGGACATAAAGGGGATGGAAGTGTTCCAGGCAGAGAGAGCAGAGGCAAGGCAGTATGTGGCATGCTTTGCAAAGTGTAATGCAATGGGTTGCAAAGTCAGTTTGAACTGCAAGATCGGCAGTTCAAGCTCACCAGCTGCTGCTTGGAAACCGTATACAGGGTTGCTATGGGTCAGGACCAACTCAATGGCTCTGAACACCACTGCCACCAATATGTTTAGCATGTTAAGAAGATTGGAGAGGAGGGGTTGATAATTTCCATTGAGTCAATTTCATATTGTGCAGACCAGACCTGTTTTCTGAAACACTGCTGGGTGGGTTTGAACTAGAAAACCTTCAGTTAGTATTTCAGCACTTAGTGCTTTGTGGCATCCAGAGAAGGAGGAAGGAGTTCTAATTGGACAAATTTGTTTCCAATTGTTTGCTATTTCAAAGTATTTTCAAACATTTGCTGTTACTAATAAATAACTGAACAACTTTGGTCATTAATCTGTACCCATACTACGTATTATTTCCTTAGGATAATTTCCTTGAAGTAGATTTATGCAGTAAGGGGTACAGGCATTTTTATGCACCAAAGAGAGTATTTAATTCAAGGTCTGAGAAAGCTTTTAGAAGTAAATTGCAGTGGAGCCAATTCTAATGAGTTGATTGGGAGTTAAGGAAGATGAAGGTAAAGAATATAAAAGACTGAGAATTTCACTGCACAGAGGAGAAAGTGGAAGGAATAGAAAGAATGGGTTGGCTTAGCTACAAGGTATTAAGAATTATATTTATCAAGTTGGTGCAAGTCTAACCTAGGTTTATACTTGATTTAATCAAGGAGGTTTGGCTAATAAAGTAAGAAGTCCTTTCCCCCTTTTCTTACCTTTTGAAGTTCATGGAAGCCATTTGTACCATATTCTCTGAATCATTACAATGGTTATCTTTTGTACACCAGAACTTATTTTCTTCCATCTCCCCAGGTGCTTTTAGCATCTGGATCATATTCTGTTTCCCCTCCATTGCCCACCATTATGCTAAATAATACCAACTTCCCTTTCTTATTTCTGCATGTCCCTATGCTTTAGGATGGTACTTATTAAATCTGAGCCCCAGCTTCACCATTTATTAGCTGTGTAATTTTTGGCATGTGCCTTAACCGCTCTTTGCCTCAGTTTCCTCACAAGAACCTAAAAAATATCCATCACAGCTTTGTGAGAATTAAATAAAATCATGTTATTAAAACACCTGGAATGTCTTTAAAGCACAATAACAATAATTTCTTCTCCTTCTCAGTATCTAAATTACTCCAAGTTGATCATGTGTCTTGCTACAGTTTGGAACAAAGGTCAAGCACTCAGTTGGTGGATCAAATCTACCAGCTGCTTTGTTGGAGAGAAACCCGGTGTTGTGCTCCCGTCAGAAAGGCTGGCCTAGGAAACCCTGTGGAGCAGTTTTCCTCTGCTCACATAGACTTGCTTTGAGTCAGAATCAACCAATTGTTTGGATTCTGGAGAAACCTAAAAGAGGAAAAGTAGAACATTATCCTAAGACTTCTATCAGAGGTGGAAAAGCCCATGTTGGTGAGAGTGCCTCATCATTCTTTGAAGGGTATATTTCAGAATAAAAAATGAGGAGCCCACCATTTTGTACTTTTTCTTCACCAACGTTTGCATATTCAAGAAGCAATGCATTTCAATGTTGAAATAGCATGGGTTTCCTTCTCTTAAGGCACTATTCTTGCTTCTGAGCTCCTATGCTCCATCCTTCTCTTAACCCAAATTGCAAGCCAGAGTCTAAACTCTGGTCATCACAGATACCAAAAGATCATGGCAGGCTGACTAATTTTGCCCAGATTTTTTGCAAAAATTCCACATGTGCTGCAGTTTTGGGTTGCATAATTGATTTAATCTCTGATTTGAGAGGAACGCTGAACTCTTTTTGTGAGACTCTGCATATATTTCTCTAGGGCAAAAATTGTCCTACTTTTTTCTCTCTATTATCTGTTTAGTGCTAGGCCATTTTTTTCCCTCAAGACTATGTAAACTACCCTCCATGAAATAAATGAAATCACAGTTGAAAAACAGCTTACTGGAAAGACTTGTAACAGTAAGATAAGAGCTATACCACACACATTTGCTTTCCTTCTTTCTGCTCTAACACATTCTTATTTTGGTTGAGAGGATGCTTTAGGGGCTCAGTTAAGGACAGGTATTAGCTACACAGAGTAGTGGCATGCTCAGTACATTCAGCTTCTGACTGGAAATGAACAGGCTGAGGGTTCTAATTCTTGCTCTTTCATTGACGTACTGTATACCTCTAGGCAGGTTTACCTGTCTCTCTAGCTCCTGCTTTCAATAGTCCCACTGTAGTAATGACTATGAAGACTGGACTGTGTGTAGTAGACCACAAACTTACAATAAGCCCATTAACTAACTAGGTATATATGATATGCCAACTGAGATTGTTGTAGTTGTTATGTATAGTCAAGTCCATTCCAACTCATAGTGACCCTAATGTGATAGAGTAGAATTGAGACCCATATGCCTCTGAACTACCAACCTACTGTCTGTATGCCAAGGCTTTCTAAGTAGCTGGAAAATTTTGGACTTCTTTTAACCTTTAAACCTCTTTATGAATATTAAAAACTAAGATACAAAATAATACTTTCTTAGATTTCTTGTAAGGATTAAATGCTAAACTGCAGGTAGAAAGTATAATGCATATAAAGCAATTTGGGGATCAAGCCATATCAGTCAGGTTTTGCTATAAGAGTGATGTGCAACAAATCTCAAAATTTCAGTGACTTAACAACTAATATTAGTTTCAGTTGGACTTGGCCCCAGGTCTATTGACGTCTGCTTCATATGTCTCCTTATTCAAGGACCATAGACTATTTAGAGAATATGTTTTTTGTGATGGAGAATAGCGTTGAAAAGGGGGTCTAGTGGAAAATTGCTAAGCCCCTTAAAGCATTAGATCATAACTGATAGCACACAATTTCTTCTACACAAATTCCATTGGCCAAAGCAACTTAACGTGGCTAGGCTAAATATTGATAGCTCAAGAAAATATAATCTGCTCTAATAAAAAAGTAGAGTGAATATTACTGCACAGGAATTCAATCTCCCTCAGAGAAGTTTACTGCATCTCATTTTTTTTTTTTTTTTTTAACTTATTTCATCTTTGTGACTACTGATTCTTCTCCATGAAGTCTACTTATATCATCCACTCTGGCATTCCTGAAGCTCTGTTTCTTTTAGTTTCAAATTACTTTGCATGATATACTTTTCTTTGAAACAGGTACTATAGACAATCCATTAAAGAAAGAACACAAGCTTCGGATCCTCCTTCGGGCTTCAGAGGGAGTCTTCTGTGACCGTTTCAATGAAATTCACGTTGATGCAGGAACTATTGGTAAGAGCATGTACTAAAATGAAATAAACATGTATATGTGCTTGTGTATGGTTACATATGTATGTGATAGAGAGCTTTTACAATAGTGGGCTCATACAAAATTTGTCATTTTGTGGTTAACTAATTTCACTCAGCATAATGTCTTTCAGGTTCTTCATGTTATGAGGTGCTTCACAGATTCATTATTATTCTTCAACAGTGCGTAAAATTCCATTGTGTGTATGATAAAAGTTTGTTTATCCACTGTTCCATTAATGGGCATTTAGGTTGCCTCCATCTTTTTGCTATTGTGAATAGTGCTGCGATGAATATTGGTGTGCATGTATCTACTCCTCTACCGACTAGAGGGATTGTAGCGTCATGCAATATTTCTGTTTCCAACTTTCTGATGAAGCACAATACCATTTTCCAGAGTTGCTGAACAATTTTACAGTCCCACCAGCAATGTAGGAGGGTCCAAGTCTCCACACCCTTGTCAGGATTTGTTGAATTTTTAAAAAAATTTGCTATTAATGCTGGGTGAGATGATAACTCATTGTGTTTTGTTTTGTTTGGTTTTTATACATAAATAAAACTTTTTATTGGGAATTGAGTGAAGGTTTACCTAGAGGATCATTAGTTTTACACTCAACCAATCATATACTTTGCTTCATTACGATGATTGCAATTCCTTCCATGTACCAACAATTAGCAGTATTTATCTCTATTCATTTTAATATTACATTCCCCTGTGACTGCCACTATCTTCTTTTTTCCTCCTTGTTTTATGTTGCCTCCCTGTCACCATGTTGACATGTGTCTATGCTTAGCCCATGAATAATTTGCCCTCCCCCCCCCACTGTAACTATCATAATTTTTTTTTCTTTCAACCAATCATATGTTTTAATTTCATTGATTACCCTCCCCTCCCTGTAACAGCATTTACTCTGCTTCCACTGTGTTTTATTGTTGTTAAGTGCCATTGAGTCGGTTCTGACCCATAGCAACCCTGTATAGGGTTTCCAAGGAGTGGCTGGTGAGCTTGAACCGCTGACTTGGTGGTTCAAACCAACTTTGCAGTCCAGTGCATTAACCCACTTTTACATATTATTTTTCCCAAATGAACAAAGCAAAAATATTGAGGCACATGTACAAAACAAAACAAACAAACAAACAAAATATATATATA